CTCTCTCCCCCCCCCCCCCCCCCCCCCCCTCCCCCCCCTCCCCTCCCCCCGCCGAGGCTCGAGGATCTTGCACAGGGAAGATACGACTCTTGTTGACTATAATTTGAAGTTGGATAGAGCTTCTGGTATGTTCTTGTGGAATTAAAAGGACAAGACAAAGAGAGAGAGAGAAAGGGAAACTGGAACATGAAAGAGGATAGAGACTATGTTTAACTTTTCCAGGAGGAGCCTAGCATCATTCAAAACACTTCAAGAAGAGCCAAGTGCTTACCTTCTCCAGATAAATCTCATAAAATCGGTCCTTTGACTTAGCGGCATCAAAGCCTTCAACTCCATACTTCCTCGCGACCCCTGATAGAAAGTTGAGTTCACCTGTTAAAGTACAAACCAGAGTGATGATGTGTTAGACACCAGGACGACTAACCAGTGCGGACCATAAACCCAAGTGACGACAAACTAGAGAAGCATCTGCTAGCTGAGGAGGAGGAACTTAGCCCCTGAATGCGTATAGGGTACAAAACTCAGGCCACGGAAACGTAGTCCCTGAATGCGTGCAGGGTTCAAAACTCAGGCCAGGGGAGGGGAACCTACCGTCGTCCCCGGAACACAACGCACCCTCATTCTGACTGTATCTGGCCGGAAACATACCTTGTATACTTTCCTTTTCAGGGTGCGTTATGTTCGGGGGAAGACGGTAGTCCCTGACTGTGTGCAGGGTTCAAACTCAGGCCCGGGGAACTTAGCCCTGAATATGTACCGGGTTTGGAACTCAGGCCAGATTCATTTGTAATTTACTAATTTAGCACATAAAACTGCCATTTACAGGGTGTGGCCTTAACCACCATTACCTGTTGAGGAGTTCAGTTCTATCTCCTTGGTTCTGAGACGTTCAGTTCTATCTCCTTGGTTCTGAAACTATATCCAGCAGTACCACACATAGGGGTGGTGGTACGCAAACCCGCTGGAATACTTCATTTATTTTCTTTTTTTAATGAAAACGCGGGGAATCTAATCCTCCATCAAGAGTCGGTGGCCTATCTCAGTTGGTAAGGCACACGTGTTTGGCATTCAGGAGGTCTTGGGTTCAAACACGCGTTTGCTTAAAACAGGGCCCGTCCAGTATGGATTTCAAAAGTGTCAAAATGTAGATGCATGCCGATGAGGTTGATGCATGATCTGCATCAGCATGGTGCAGACGGCCAGATGCAGACCGGACAGGTGTGTCTCAGACAAATGCCAAAGTGTTGGCTTTAACTCCGACGTTATTAGTACTTATTACCTGTTAGAAGACATATCTTGTCTTATGAATGCCTTACATTATCTCAATCCACCATCTTATTGTATCTGTAATAATGAGAGAGAAGAGGATAAGATATATATATATATATATCGTCACAAACAGAATATATATATATATATATATAATTGACCTGTTCCAGTGAACGGCACAAAATCTGCTTCAACAACGTCAGGATATCCCATTTCATGAAAGAGCTCCGCAGCCGCTTGACGGGATCTGCTCTCGCTGTCACACAAGACACCATCCATGTCAAAAAGAACGGCTTCCACGTCAACGTCCGACCCATCTCCCTGCATCTTGGGCTCTGTGGATTGCACAACACCAACACCACTCTGCGCCCCGCTGTCGCTCAATGCACGACAGCCAATCCTGGACTCGACACGATCGCTTATCCGCCGACTAGATACTCTGGCACAGATTGTATGCAAGTGAGAGCGAGGATATCCTCCCCTGCTGCAGAGAGGTGCGCCGCTGCGCTGCACACCTTTTGCCCCGTCCCTCCCCTCGCTGTAAATTTTCTTTGCCAACCCCTTCGAGAGTCGTTTTGTGCCGCCAGGAGAGCAACTGTGTGCAGCAGGGCCAACAGCAAGCTGAGCAAAGGCTTGCACCTCTCTCCCCTTCCTCCAACTCCCCACTTTGCCTCCGATGCTCTTCTTCCCCTTCCCTGCCAGCTGCAAGTCCTCGCCAAATCGCTGGTGAGGCACAACTGCACCGCACTTTCCGTCACACACTCTACAGCTCGTGTTTGCTGCTGTTGCACACAGAGACCATGATTGGCACAATGTGGGTGACAGGCAGCTTGTCCGTCTTAAGCTCCCAGTTCTCTGTAATTGCGGCCCAATGGCCAGGAAGGTGGAGGTATGGGTGCTCGCCAGGCCCGATGACGCCATAGCCAGAAGCAAAGGCGTCAGCGATCGAATCAATTTAACTTCCTGCACTTGGTTACTGGGCTTCTTGCAACCTTGCCGCACACCTCACCCGTCCAGACAGCTACACCAGGATTTCTTCCCTAAGGCTCAGCTGCACAACCAGGCACCACATCAAGGCCCACAAGAGCGAAAACACAGGGGGGAGAAGGGGGGAGGGGGAATTAGAGACCGAGAAAAACGTAAGACGTATAAGAACACAAATACAAGCAACGAAAAGGACAATGTGCATTTTACATGGAAAAGCAACTATCCGAAATCTCTATCCTGTTTTTTTTTATATATTATATAATCGCTTCTTGCTACAAATATTTTTGAAACTCCTTTTTTGCTGGCACCTAATGGGTTGCCCTTTGGGCTTGCGGGGGTAGGCACTTGCGGTCAGGCTTGAATGAGAAGGGAAGTAGTCACCCTTCTGACTACCCAACCCTCTATATCCATCCAAAACCCCCCAGCAAGTCATTCCCCGCATGCTTTTCCAGCTTCCACAAACCTCTCCGCGCTGAGTTTGCGTTCCATTCTTACTACTACTTAGCCATGCACCCCAGCCTAAAAATATTGTGACTGACGTCATCCTACCAGACGGGTGGATAGCAGACGTGCGTAGCTCCCATCACACTGCCCGTCGTCGAGCTGCCACGTTGTCGTCTACCTGCCCATCGTCGAGGTGCCGACCTCCTCCTCCTCCTCGCACGCAGCCGACCTCCTCCTCCTCCTCGTGTGCAGCTGACCTTCTCCTCCTCCTCTTGTCGTCTTCTTCTTCACTCCTCTTCCTCCTCATTTTGTCTTCTTCTTTTCCCTCCTCCTCCTCATTTCATCTTCTTCTTCTTCTCTCGTTCTCCTCCTCATTTCATCTTCTTCTTTTCTCTCTTCCTCCTCCTCCTCTCCTCTCATCTTCTTCTTCTTCTCTCCTCCTCCTCCTCCTCTCGTCTTCTTTTTCTTCTTCTTCTCCTCCTCCTCCTCCTCCTCCTCTTCTCTTCTTCTTTGTCCTCATCATTTCGTCTTCTTCTTTTCTTTCTTCCTCCTCCTCCTCCTCTCCTCTCGTTTTCTTCTTCTTCTCTCATCCTCCTCCTCATCCTCCTCCTCTCGTCCACTTCTTCTTCTCTCCTCCTCATTTCGTCTCCTCCTTTTCTCTCCTCCTCCTCCTCCTCTCGACTTCTTCTACTTCTCTTCTCCTCCTCCTCCTCCTCCTCCTCCTCATTTCCTCTTCTTCTTTTCTCTCCTCCTCCTCCATCGGCCTTTTTTTTTTTTTCCCTCGTCATCGCCAGACACAACCGGCAGCTCCTCTTCCTCCTCCTCTCATCTTCTTCTCCTCTCCTCCTCTCATCTTCTTCTCCTCTCCTCCTCTCATCTTCTTCTCCTCTCCTCCTCTTCCTCCTATTTCATCTTCCTCTCTTCTCTCCTCCTCCTCCTCCTCATTTCGTCTTCTTCTTTTCTCTCCCCCTCCTCCTCCTCCTCGTACTGTGTCTTTTTCTTCCGATTCTGCTTCTTCTTTCTCCTCCTCCTTTCCTATCCTCCTTCCTCCCTTCCTCCCCCTCCTCCTCCTCTCGTCTTCTTCTTCTTCTTCCCCTCCTCCCGTCTTCTTCTTCTTCCTCCTCCTCCTTTTATCTTCTTCTTCTTCCTCCTCCTCCTCCTCCTCCTCGTGTCCTCCACCATATCCTGCCGCCCGCCATCTCGCACATCCTCAGGCCATATTGTACGGTCCGCCATATCCCACTTCCCGCCATCTCCCATTCCTCTTTTTTTTTTTCTGCCCAAAAAAAAGAAGGGACGCAGGAAGACTGCAGCGCTTCTTCTTCTTCTCTCCTCCTCCTCCTCCACCACCTACTTTCGTCTTCTCCTTCTCCTCCTCCTCCTCCTCCTCCTTCATCGTCCTCTTTTTTTTTTTTTTTTGTCATCCCCATACACTACCGGCAGGTCCTCCTCCTCCTCCTCCTCCTCCTCCTCCTCTTCTTCTTCTCTCCTCCTCCTCCTCCACCACCTACTTTCGTCTTCAGTCTTCTCCTTCTTTCCTCCTCCTCCTCCTCCATCATATTTTTTTTGTCTTCTGTCATCCCCATACACCTGTCTCTTATACACATCTAGATGTGTATAAGAGACAGCACCTGTAGTTATGACACCCGGCCTGGACCACGGCGCGCGGTGCTCTCGTTGCCCCGGGTTTGGCGTTGCTTTTGCCGGTTTGTGTTTTTTTGCCGTTTCCAACTTCTTTGTGACACAGACGGACTTACCTCCCTTTTTTTTTTTTTTTTTAATCGAAGAGGTGGGGTGACTGCTAACGAGATTGGTAAGAGCATCCCCCATTAGCAGGTCCCGCTGGTTGGTGGCTCGTCCTCCTTTGAATCCTTTCTATTGGTCAGGAGCAGCCGCACCTGCTGGAAAACGCGTCCAGCGTCCCTTTAAAACATTATTAATCAGAAGTCCATGAATGATAATTTGATATCGACTTCTAGTATTCAACCCTTAAATTTCCTAACCATTCAGGTCAGCCCTGACAAAGTCCACAGACTCCACACCCTAAACCAAAAAGCCCAATTTTGCACAGATTATCATGTCACATACCCAAGGGACACGATACCCATCCTGGAAATTCCGGCACAATCCTGCACAGACCGGACGATCCACCCAAACAACTAACTGTACCAGGACTGCGTTCTTAAACCCATGTCCAGCTAGGCCTCCAAATTACGGAAGAGCAGTCAGACAACTCCTTTGTTCCGGAGACCGCTCCACTGATTGTTTTTTCCTTTCCTTTTAAGGCGCACTTTGTTTTATCAGTAAGGCTGGAAACTGCTCCCAGCCCCGTCCCTCCGCTGACAGATACTCACTCAACGTGTCCCTTCCTTCATTGTGGCCAAGGGACCGTGAGAAGGCGGCATTGATTGCTACCGTTTCCAGAAGGATGTGGCACCGCTCCAGCGATTTCAAATCCACCTCCTCATTTCTCTTCCTACTCTTTGTTACCTGCTTGCATTGGGCGCGTGCTCCCATCCGGCCTGAGATCAGCACTCTGGGGCCTGGGCTATTCCTGGTTCGCTCGCTGCTACCAACGGAATCCTTTCAAAGTCTGCTCTCAAGGTCTCATGTCGCTTCAAGTCGAGGCCTAAATGCATATTTTTGAAGTTATGGGATTATATTATTCATAAGTTCATAACTTCGTACTTCGCATAACCGACAATCTTGCCAACAAGTACGACAGGAAAACTGTTTCAGACGAGTCTTTCAGGCATATCTAGCCGGTCAGGAACAGGAAGGTGTTGTTGAGTCTGACAACATGCAAACAGTGCCAAACACCACACTCACCGCTTTCACAAGCTCAAGAGCACCGGCGTAGCCCAGCCCGGAGTCAGGGATCGCAAACTGCAAGGAGTATCACACAGCAAAACCAGTGATGAAAAAATAAACAATCAGAAGATTCACAAACAGAAATTACAAAAAAGAAAAAAAAAGAAAAAAAGAAGTTAGAGAACAAAGTACTGGGCCCATGTGGAGCTGAATGGTATACTACTATACATGCAATGAGCCCAGATTTCAATCAACATTTCAAAACACACCAACTTAGACCACACTTCAGCACATGAAAGTCAGAAGCGATTTGACAACTTGTAAATTTCCGTTCCGGAAAACGTCTTATACAACGAGTTCATGTATCCAAGCTGGGCGACTATGGCCGCAAGCAACAACCAAGGATGATCTCTCTCTCTCTCTCTCTCTCTCTCTCTCTCTCTCTCNGCGGATTTGGGCTCTTCTTACCGAGCGCAGTCCAACCCCATCTTCAAAAAAAAAAAAAATTCCCGGGACGTTTTTTGGCTCGTCTGGTTTCGCCGGACGGACCCCCTCCGTACGTCTGGCCAGGTCCGTCTGCCTCTCCTCAGCGGACTGGCTGCTGCAACACAGTGAACACACCCTTTTACTCCCTTGCCACCTCCCCCCAAACACATGCCTTTCATAAGTTTCTCTGTGGATTTGGGATCTTCTTACCGAGCGCAGTCCAACCCCATCTTCAAAAAAAAAAAAAAAATCCCGGGACGTTTTTTGGCTCGTCTGGTTTCGCCGGACGGACCCCCTCTGTACGTCTGGCCAGGTCCGCCTGGACCGGGCGTCGGCCTAACCCAGTGCTGAACGCTTTTGTCCTAGGGAGATATCCTGGGCGCCCGGGTCCCGACGTCACGCCCGGTTTGGCGACCGGGTGACCGGCTGGGCATGACCCCCAGGCAGCCCCAGCGCAAAAAAAAAAAAAAAAAAATCCAAAAAAAACTGAAAAAAAAAATGTTGTGTAGAAGTGCAATACAAACAACTTTGGGCTGAGGTCACATCAGAATTCCTCAGGGAACTGAACATACAAAAGAAAATAACCAAATCACACTAAGGCACCCCCCTTTAAACCCCTTTAGCCCCTTTAAAATTCATTTATACTCCCCTTCCCACCCCTTGACAGCCAACACTCAAAAAATGAAAAGAGCCCTGATTTGGGATCCTCTCAGAGAGCGTGGAAACCCCCCACCACCGCAATTTTTTATTTTTTATTTTTTGTAATGACCCGCCAGAACACGGACTGAGAACACTGCTGATTTCTGGGATTTGCCGCTGGAATGAATGCCTTGCTGAGATTCCCGCATTCTGCTGTGGTTTCCAAGTCTGTGTGTGTGTGCGTGCCTGCTCGTTTGCGCGCCTGTCTGAGTGCTTGTCGGCTGAGTGTGTGTGTGACCCGCAAGGGTACTTTTGGTTGAAAGGCCCCGCAGGGCCGGTACTTACCTGTGGCCGTGACTTTGAGGGTTGCAGCGGGGAAAGCGGGGGTAGGCCCGCGACACTTAGAGCAGCGGGGAAAAACACTCGAGTGACTCAAGTAGCAGGTAGGCCGGTACCACTCAAGTAGTGATAGAAGTGTCGGGTACTGGAGGTCGAGCAGAAGAAGACAAAAGTTGGCATTTTTAGAGGCCCAGTAGCGGTCGGTTAGAGGTAGGCCGGTACCAGTCCAAGTAGCCTGAGTCTAGGGCCTGTCCGGATGATAGCAGAGCCTGCAATAATGTTTCCCTCCGAAAGGGAGGAGGTACCGGTTGCTGGGAGGCTATAGGAAGTCACCGCCCAGGAGAC